CGTTGCAATAAAATAACTATTGTTAGACATATTATTAGAAGTTTATAATTATTTTAAATTAATGACTTTTAACACTCTCTTGTACATATTATAGTTATTTATTATCTAATTTATTACTGAACATATGAATATATTTACAATAATATTCAACAATAATCATTAAAAAAAAATTAAAATTAAGTGTTATACTAAATGCACTTAATTATATACACTAATATATATATAATACTAAATTACACAAAATATCAAAAATAAAAATAGATATATCTATTCAGATATCTAAAACTGTTTACGCGTTATATATCAAAACTGCTAATTATAATTCTAGATTAAAGTACTTATAGATCTACTAAACAAAATTTGAACCCTGCTTAATATTATTCATTAATATTGTAGTCATATACAAAATATATTTTTATTTTGTTCAATCTTATGAAGCACTTAACATTATGCATAATCTTATCAAAAAACAAAGAATTTTACAATATTTTATTTGAGTTCCAAATCAATGCCACAAATCTTAATCAAATCTTATGCTTTCAACGTGTAGAAACCTAATTCCATTACCGATAACATAAATTTTAGATCGTAAATATTGATAAAACCTATTATACGTAACAATCTAAGACTATTAGTAGCTGTTTAAATTATTACTATAATAATGTTTTATTATCTTTTCCGATTTAATAATTTTATTTCTCTTGTTTCTATTATTCTATAGTTGGAGCACCGTAAAAATTATAACGATGATACTGAGGAACGTTTCCGTTTTAAGATCTTCAATGAGAACAAACACAAAATTGCTAAACATAACCAATTGTTTGCCTCCGGTAAGAAGTCCTACAAATTGGCTCTGAACAAATATGCTGATATGCTTCATCACGAATTCAAGGAAACCATGAACGGATACAATAACACATTACGTAAATTGTTAAGGTAATTAATATTATATCTATTTGCTTTTAATAAAAAGAAAAATTAATAAAAAATGTATTCTTTATCATTAGAGCACAAAGTGTTGAATTCACTGGAGTGACTTTCATAGCACCTGCACATGTCACAGTACCCACATCCGTTGATTGGAGAACCAAAGGTGCTGTTACTGCTGTTAAAGATCAAGGTAAATATTTTTTTAAAAATTACTGTCATATATAACAGAAATAGTAGTTAGTTGTATCCACAATAACGAGTAACGGAGCTCGGTAACTAAGTAAGATGATAAAAATGCAAACCAAATTTTCCAGATTTCACAAATGTAAATCGAAAATCATGGGTGTCGATGTCGAGCGTATAGTGCCATATTGCAATTTTGTCTAGTCGATTGAATCCTTACAATAATGTGCTGAAAGCTCTCGCATATATTACTTATCAGCTTATGCTGCTTCCTTGTAAACAATACACAAAAATGTCAAATCGGGAAGCTTTGGGAATTTCTACCGATTGTCAACATAATCAACTATTATTTAAGTAATACCTACTTACGTACCACACAGGTGGACATTGTAATGACAACATGATCAGTAGAACCCTCCTTACATGTTAAATCCGCCAATCTCCTTGTTTTCCTATCATCAATATATTTACACCTATTAAAATCAGGTTAATAACAGGTCAGATCAGGTTAATATTAGTTTGGTTATGTACAAATGAGGGTTAATAGTTTTTCATATAGGTCTCCTTCGACACATTCGTTGCACATCAATAAAACTCTCTACAGACCTACGCTGGATATCTTTAGAGAATAAAAATACCTTCCGCGGCAAGAACTGTCCCAGCCGAGAATCGAAGTCAGAATATAGTTTAATCCTCACGGATCTTAACGGTTAATTGTCACGCATAAATAATTTGATTCACTATGTTAACCCTATATTAATCCCTATAACCTCGCCCATCTTTAATCACACTGCATACACTAATTTGAGCCCTATTGTTTCTTGGGTCCGACCAATTCAAGCGGTTAGATTTTCGCCTCAACATAGTCCAATTTCGATTAAGCCCCAACCGCGTTTGTCATGCCTCTCTTATCTCAAACAATCCCTTTTCTTACTCTACCCTCATCCAATCATATCCTAGCCAATATATTATTGTAATTCTTTTCATGTTTTCTGCTATATAGATCTTCACAGGTTACAAGAATCCTGTACCTTGATTACCGAGCTCAGTACTGAAGATTATAAATTCCACTATGCTTATTTTTTACTACACTTTATGGTTCACTTCAAATATATTAATTTTATATATGTATGCTATATATATATAATTTATATATAATATTTTATTCAATACATAATTAATTTATTTAAAAAAATTTTTTTTTCTATTTTAGGCCATTGTGGTTCTTGTTGGTCATTTTCTTCTACTGGCGCTTTGGAAGGTCAACATTTCCGTAAGACTAATGTACTTGTGTCGCTTTCTGAACAAAATCTTGTTGATTGTTCTAGCAAGTACGGCAACAATGGTTGCAATGGTGGTCTTATGGATAATGCTTTCCGTTATATCAAAGATAATGGTGGCATTGATACTGAAAAATCATACCCTTACGAAGGAATTGATGACACATGTCATTTCGATAAAGCATCAGTTGGCGCTACAGATCGCGGTTTCGTTGACATACCCCAGGGTGATGAGGACAAAATGAAACAAGCACTTGCAACAATCGGACCAATATCTGTTGCTATTGACGCCTCACATGAATCATTCCAATTCTATTCTGCTGGTGTTTATGATGAACCAACATGTGATCCTGAACAATTAGATCATGGTGTTTTAGCTGTTGGTTATGGCACTGATGCTGATGGTCAAGATTACTGGTTGGTCAAAAATTCATGGGGTACCACATGGGGAGATAAGGGTTATATTAAGATGTCACGTAACAAGGACAATCAATGCGGTATTGCCACTGCCTCAAGTTATCCACTTGTTTAAATTTTTCTTATATTCACAAATATTATACTTTTGATTTTTAATTATTTTTTTTTTATTGTTTAAATATTATATGAATGTATATGTATATCTTTTTTCTATAATCAAGTTAATTATATAAATAATGTTAGACAAAAGTATCTCATTCCTATTGTAATTCATTGACGTATGTAATTAAATTTCTTTTTATTTTTAATTTATAATTTGTGTAATATTTTTATAATTTTTATGTTGTACGAATACTAAACGAATTTTAATAGATTTCATAGCATTACGCATGGAGACTGTAAAATAATTAATATAAAATAAAAATCTATAAAAATTTACAAATCGATTATTTGATTTATAACGTATTAAATATCTTATTGATTTAGATATTATAATATATATAATATATATATATTGATTTTATTGATTATAACTTTTAATTATTCTTCTTCTTTCTGATATGATAATCCAGTGTGCAACATTACTTAAGTATGCCTTAAGTACAGTGATTCCTATTCCTTTACAGTGATTTTTTTCAAAATATGGTCAGAAAGGTCGTTTGTCAAATTTTTAACCGTGATGAAAGATTTTTTTTCACTTTCATGAAGTTAGCTGCTTTCCTATAGTCACTCACCCATTTTATATCAGTTGTGGGCCTTAGGCTTAACTATCTAAAAGCCTGGCTCCCAGATTCTTAACTTTTACAGAAAACTTGTTTCCACTTTTATAAAGCAAATCGCTTTCGCCTAGTCATACTCTCGCTATAAGCTATAAGATTTTAGAGCTTAAGTTTACATCTTGCCAGATTTATTTTAGTTTTAATAAAGTGAGCGATTTGCCTCAAGTCCTATATTTGCTGTAATTACATAAACAGGCGCCAGGTTTTAATTTGAAAATGTGGTTTTCTTTACTCGGTCTCTGGTTTGCGTGAGGTGATTTATTTTTCTTCTACCACCCATCTCTAGTGGGTATTCGACTGTCCATATTCTTTGGATGTGCCCACTAGACATACTAATAAATAAAGTGTTATACAAGTGCTATTATTATTCAAGTTTTACAACTGCATTTAATCACATAAATATATAAACAATTGGAAATCAGGAGAAATTTATAGTGCCTTATAAACAGTGACATGGGAAATACACACCTTACATAAGACATATAACAACTTCTCTCATTCAGCGTCCATTGGGGAGCCAACACATGCAAGATGTGATAAAACACCTCATACTACATGGAAAATGAAAGACCTTACTGAAAGTTACAAGAGGATTATGGAACTATAATCAATAACACGTAACGACAAATATCAAAACGAACACGTACCTGTTGGTATAAACCATTTTAGGAGTTGTGAATGCTACTTGGTCGTTGCAGTTGAAGAGTTGCCTGGGTAATTCTGGAACATCTCACTACACGCTTCTCTTACCGAACCTATATATATACTGATATTTGTATATTCTTTCATGTTATCTGTTACATAGATCTCTCCAGTAACAGATCAAATAGTCAAATCTTTTGTCAAAACCTTAAGCTCCAATAAAAGTTAATATGGAATAAATAACCACTTGAATTCGATCAAAATGTTCAGCGTACAGAGCATTGATGCACGATTTTCTTACTCTTGACGATGCTAGTACCAAGCAAAATTGTCAAGCAATGTATAAAAACCATACATATGATTCTATATCATATCGAAATTACAGAAATATATATATATATATTATATATATTAAATTAAAAAAAGGAAAGCCTTACCAGTGTATATATTTTGTATTTATATACTATAATTTTATTATATTAAAAAAAAATTATTAACAAAAAGGTAAAATTTTTAGTATCATTTAAATTTATATACTATAATTTTATTATATTAGCAATACATAAATTATTTAAATAATATTTAACAACAAGACCGTTAATATCGAAAAACATACATATTAATTTGGAAAAATTTCTTTGGATTTGTGCAGTGCTTATTTTTTTCATTGCTTGACAATTATAATTAATGTCTTACATTTTTATTATAAATTTTCATTTTTTATATATATTTTAATATTTACAACTAAATTATAAAAATCGTATCCTATTTTGCCAATAAATGTAACTAGCTTGCTTTTAAAATTAATTTTTAATCATTTAAAATTTTTAATACAAAATAACAGTCTTATACACAAATTAACAATTTTAATTATTAATATAATTACGATTGACTAAGTCAATGGTACAATAGGCATTCATTAATGATAATTTTTCTAATAAATATATTATTTACTTATTCATTAACTTAGGTCCACGGGAAATTATTGCTGAATAGTATGGCGCCCAGTACATAATAAATTCCGAACCACTGCACTATTAATCCTATCTTTGAGCGAAATCTGATTTGGTCGAACGTTTTTGGCATATAATCTGCTGCAAACCAATATATACAAGGTGTTGACGAGCAGAGTAATCGCGTGGATACTTGTATGTGTACAAAAAATAGGCAAAAGCAACTCAGGAATAAAGCCTCCAAAACGAATGGCAAAGACTTGTATTCCTTCACTATATATAATAGTGAATATTTGGGCAATAATATTTTACAAAGATGCTTTAAATACACATAACAGTGGTAGCACAGAAAACTCAATATGGGAAGAGCCAGCATAAAATTTGGTAATTGCTTTATTTCGTAGTAGCGGAGAAAGCCCACTTTCCAGTAATGAGATTGTACATACGAGTATGGATATGGTATAGATTGATCACACCATGGTGATTCGTTTGGCAGTCGCGTTCCGGCTAAAACATAATTCCGCTCATGTGCATAGTCCACAATCTCTTGTGGATATCTAGAGATTTTATGTGACGTACAAAACTGTTGATATGCGTAACAAAAGAAAAATGTTAAAGGTATCAGTGCCGTTATTCCGTGAATAAATATTTTTACAACTGTCCAAACATAACTCTTCGAATACACAATACAATCGCGCAACATAAAATATACCAGAAATCCCATATTGATGAAGCCATTGGAGCGAGTTACTATTGATAAACCCAAAATGATTGTAGCTAATCCAAAGCGTGTTCTTGTTGCATAGCCCAGCATAACTTCCAACGTTAACCAGCAAAATAATGATTCAGAATAAGTGGCGGTAAAAAACATTGAAGCTGGATTAAAACAAAATAATAATGCTGCATTCCAGCTTTTGTTAGAATCATTAAATATTCGTTGTGTTAATGCATAAAGTACATTTGCCGCCTTACAAAAACAATATATATTGATCAGCACACCTACGAGCAACGTCCAACTACGCGCCGACAAATGTAGTGGCAGGTAATCACAGCTGCTTGCAAGGATATTAATTGTGACTGGATAGAGAGGATAAAATGCTAGCGTATTTTCATAGGTATAACCATGTTCCGCAATATGAAGAAAATATTCGCCATCCCAATGTCGCAAACCACCTAAACAAGTTTGCACGGTTTTATCCAGCCAATTCGTAACTCTGGTTTCATTATTATTGTGGAGTATTGGTGCACGAAAAACATCTGGTTTATGATCCGACAGTATTAAATTAGTCAGCAACTGCAACGTCAACAAAATGACTCGACTTGAAATTGCCAATTTAGTCACTTTTTCGGTCATAGTTTTGCATATTTAAATTTGTAAAACCAAATAAATAATTTTTCTTTTATGCTGGAATTAAATAATTAAAAGTTTTACTAGCATTTGTTTTAAGCATACGTTTATCAAAAAGAAAAATAATACTTATGAAAAATGTATCTAATGTAAATAATATGTCATTATAGAAATTATTTAGATTTTAGGAAAACAACTCACAAATGAAAAATTTGAAAAATTTAAAGATTTCGAAAAAAAATTGATATTTTATTATTTTACATATATCCAACATTCATCTTACGTCAACCACCAAAACTTCTAACAGATAACCGGCACAACAAAACGGATGCATCAGTGTTTGTGCGAATTATGCAGGTGGCCATCAGCTGATCTCGTCTGAATGACATTGAGATATGCAAAAATAAAACCAGTGTTGAAAAACGCTATTCTATGCAGATATAAACAAAAACTGTCCAACCTATAAAATTTTGTGTATATATAATTCATAATAACAGTTTATATATAAACAATATACATTAAATTTAAATATTGCTGGTAACGCGTAAATAGACTTTATCATATTATGGTAAAGCACTTCTCGTACATATATATATCAAACTATCAAACACTTATTTTAAGTTTAAAAAGTGTATGTGCATTCAGATACTCATATGAAAATACAATACATAACATATGTATAAAAATAATAAAAATAAAAGTAAAGTAAGTAAGCAAAATACATTCTCATTATACTATTATGTTACGCATATTTTCTTTGCTGTACACAGTACTAAAATGAGTTATACAGACAGTCATATCATCAATGCTTACAAAAATTTTACGATATTTTTAATTATGACCAAAAGGCATATTATTCAGAAAGCCATATAAGAATTGTCAATTTCCTACCTTTATTACTATTTAATTGCTATTCTTGTGTTTAAATATAAAAGCCAATGTGTTTATGTGTTTACATATCCACACAAAAATACACATTTACTTCTAATAAGTGCAAAATATATTTTTTACAAATATTTAATATATTTAGCAGTTGAAAAACACGGTAAAGGACGTCCGCATCTTTGACCGAAGGACCAGGTGACCAACGACTTGTGGGCGCTCGGTTCTACCAGCTGGCGAAAGCAAGCCACTTATTGGGCTGGCTGGTGGAGGTTCTTGACGCGGTCAAAAACAAGTCATCATTTATTTTACGATAATATGTATCATTATATCTTATGTGATGATTAATTACAAATCATTACTTATGCTGATTGAAAAAGTGATAAACATGTGTGAACAAAAACATAAGTGCTTTGCCTCCAAACACTATTTTTAAAAATTTGCTAAAAAATAATTAAATGTATTATAATCCATTGCAAATTACGAACGTTTTTCTTATAATTCATATTATATTAACTGTATTAAAAAAAATTATTCATTGAATATATATAATAAAAACTTCTGCTTTATAACACTACAAAAAATCTTGACCCACTACGAAGAGACGTCACCTTTTTTTTTTTGTTTTCGCGGGTTATAAATTAAAATCATTTAAAATTGATTAAAAATTTAAAGAAATCATGTTTACTTCAAGCATATGCTCTGGATATGAGTTAGTTTTAGGAGAAATGGCCCACAAAAGGCCCTTTCTCGATAATTTGGATGCGAATATATTACCTTGCGGTGGTCTTAAACCCAAATCTCTTGTGGAAATATCAGGTGCTTCTAATACAGGCAAGAGTTTAGTGCTCAATCAATTAATAGCACGCTGCTTACCGCCTACCTACTTTGGTGGAAAATATTGTGATGCTATTTTAATTGATCTTGGCCATAAGTTTTCTGTTCAACATTTTGAAAAGCTTGTCACACGCGTCATAAATGAATCTGGAGAAAAATGTACACCAGCCGAGAACATAACAGTGATTCATAACTGCTTAAACTCAGTTACAGCGCTTAACTGTTATACTGCAGAAGATTTCGATTTAGCCTTCGATATAGTTGAAGATATTTTATGGGAGAATCAAAATGTTTCATTATTAGCAATAGACACTTTGGATGCCTTTTATTGGGCAGATACGCATAAAAAACTCGTCCGAATGACCACACATTACAATAAATTAGTAACTAAACTGAAGCAACTATGTGAAAAGCATAACATTTGTTGCATCTACACGGTGGATATAAATTATATTGAGCCAAAAACATTGTATCTAATGAAGCAAAACGCATCAACACTGTCTATGATTGATTATAAAATAAAGCTTAAAATGCTTGCAGATGGAACTAGAACGTTGAATGACAGAAAAATCATTGTTGATAAAATGGGAATACATCTTACTTAGATATTTAAAATATAACTTATGTTTCTTATAATTGTTCCTAAATTATTGTTTGAATAAATATTTATTTCGAATTAACTGAATTAAATTATCTATGATTATTAAGCATGCTCTTATTTATAGTGTGTATTAGATTATTTCAACATCAGCTTCTGAATTAGGTATTTAACTAAATTCACTCGACCACTTTTTCTTGGCAATAATCCGCACATGTCATTAGGCTAGTTAGGTATTTAACTAATTTATGTCTTCAAATTCACTCGACCACTTTTTCTTAGCAATAATTCGCACATGTCATTAGGCTAGACTTAGTTTGTAACCACCAACCATAATAGAAATAAAAGTCAAAACTTTGAATAAAATATTTACTTTATTCAATTCATATTTAACCTAGACGCTAAAAAATTCAGCTGACATTTACTTATCTTCTGGTTTTGTGAAAACAAAGGTTAAATTGCATTTGCCACAGTAGTGACGATCTTCATGTGCAGCCATAAAGACTCCAGCGCCACAATTTTCACCAGGGCATTCACGACGTAAACGATGAATTTTACCATTTTCGTCAACCTTTAAAAAATAAAAAATATATTAATAAGCACAAAAATATATATATTAAAACATTTGGCCACGGATGAGATATAAACAAACTGCAACACAATTCGAGTCGTATTATCCATATTTCTTATTTTTAAATCCAAAGCACAAGATAAACAAGACTCAAGAATTCCAGATCAATTAACAAATTGAGAACAAATTAATAACTTCATAATAATTTGTTGTTTATATTCTCATATTTGGCACATGTGCATCCCAGTAGAATCATCAATAATGGCTTTACCTTGTAGTACTTGAGGACGGCTAGCTTGACCTTCTTCCTCTTGTGCTTAATTTTTTTGGGGGTAGAGTAATTCTTCTTCTTGCGTTTCTTGGCACCACCACGTAGGCGCAACACCAAGTGAAGTGTTGATTCCTTTTGAATATTATAATCGGACAATGTGCGACCATCTTCCAATTGTTTACCAGCAAAAATCAAACGTTGCTGATCTGGAGGAATTCCCTCTTTGTCCTGAATCTTGGCTTTGACATTTTCGATAGTGTCCGATGGTTCCACCTCAAGGGTGATGGTCTTGCCCGTTAGGGTCTTAACGAATATCTGCATTTTGACGCAACTTTCCTAATGATTAAAATAAAATATAATTCCAAATTATAAACACGTAAAACAAATTATAAAAAATCTATAAAACAAGTAATTAAAATTAATGTTTTGCAAAAAGTTGTACGAGGCACCGGTCGCACTGCTTATAAAATAAATTATGAAAGTCTCAAAATGTCGGAAAATGAACAAGCGAGTTGGGCAAATTTTTCTTTAAAATTTATTTGGATGAGCTAAAATTACTATTATTTAAAATATATAACAAAAACCGATGCTTATTTCAATTATTTGCGACAATACACTTAATTTTAATTAAATAAATCAAATTTTATGCCTTTTAACACATTTAATTTATTATTCACAGAAAAAAACGCACCTAATTCGTCGAGAACACGATGACAAAAGGAAAGTGCAGAGCCGTCAATTTGAACAGGAAATGAGAGACAGCATGTTTTTGTTAGTATTGCCAGAGTTGAAGAAAACTTTCACATATAGATGGCGTTCGAAAATAATTTTATGTGCTTGTCATTTTAGAGAAAAAATTTAATTTAAAATGATCATTATTTATAGTTTTTAATTATAAAGAATTGTATATTATATAAAGGTGTAGACATAAAAAAAATTAAAAATACATTTGTACCGCATTAAGCAGATTTTTATTATATAATTATTAATATAATTAGAAGAAGAGACAATAGTAAACCACCAACTTTTAGAACTCTTTTATTATATCTGAAAAAAAATTGCTCAAGCTAACTGAAACAAATAAAGCCTATAAATTTAAAAATATAATACGTTTACTCTTTTCAATCACAAAAGCGTAAAAAGTGTATTATTCGATGTTTCAAAAAAATAATAGAGCAGAGTACCTTTCTTTTTTTTAAATCCGACTTAAAATTATTGAAGCTTATCCTGGATTCACACGAGAGTTTTGATTGTGATTTCAGTTAAATTTCTATTGAACGTGTTCTGCTATAAAAATCAAGAATAATTTGATATGACTGGTAAAATTATCAAGGTTTGAATTGGTAGAAAATAGTAATAGCATTTCAAACCCTGAAAATTACAATCAAAACTCTCGTATAAATCTATTATTAATTTAATACTTTTCTGATGAAACGCTGTAACGAAATGATCATATGATATATATATATAGTATAGACTAGTGTTTCTCAATTCGAAACTTACTGAGGACGTACGTCTTAATCGGATATATATTCAAGAAACAGTACCAACATTTCCATAAAAAAATACATAGTAAAATAACATTTTTATTTTTTTTATTTATTTATTAAATGCTAATATAAAAATTATTAAATAAGATCTGATGCATCACAGTATGATGATGCTTCAATACCATACAGCACAGATAATATGAGTATCTTATAAAGCAGGGCTGTCCAGATCAGAAGCGATCGCGGGCCAGAAAATTGTATTAGATTAGAAACATGTAGCGAGCAACAAAAACATTAGCCACGGCCCGTGCTTTGGATAGCCCTGCTATAAAGTATTAGTTTCGTCGACCAATATAGAACTGTATATGCAAAAAACCTCTTGAGCCAATAGATACTTACTATGCATCTTAAATTGATTGTTATGTGGCAGAATTTCTATTTTTTTAACAGTGGTACGGGTACGGCACGAGACAGTGATAGGGTAGTCAGCTATAGACATCATTTTTTGTATGTTTAGCTATTTAAGAGAGCTTAGAATTCTATAAGAAAGTTCCTCTTGTGTAGATATAGTGAATCTTATTCTCAGTTTGTATTTTTAATTTGAATATGAACTGTGATTAATATATATATAGATATAACAAATCAACAATTTTGTACAAAGTACTACATTCAATTTTATATGTTTTATTATTTATTATAGTGTTAATTACTATAAAAATGATTACAAAATCTAAATATATTTAATGTTTTAAAAGACTTAAATCGATTTTACATAATCTCAAATTATGTACATAGGCTTTGAACTAAAAAATCAGTTGATATTTTTTTTAACTTTGATGCTGCATACGTACAATCCTTTAACTTTATATAATATTATTATTTAAATTATCGCAAATATGTACAATGGTTTTTATATACTAAGAAGCCGTGATGATCTTGTCCATTAGTGTGCACCATCTAAATCAAAAAAAAGTACAATCTTAAAAAGAAATTATTCAATTAATATGTGTCTATTTTCATATTTAAAAAAAAAAATAGGTATATATATTGTATTACATATATTATAATACCATATATGTATAATACACTGTAAAATATAATATATTGTATAATATAAAACATTGTATAATATAATATATTGTATAATATAATATATTGTATAATATATTTTATAATATGATATATTGTTCAATATAATATATTGTTCAATATAATATATTGTTCAATATAATATATTGTTCAATATAATATATTGTTCAATATAATATATTGTTCAATATAATATATTGTTCAATATAATATATTGTTCAATATAATATATTGTGTAATATAATTAAAACATTTAAGGAAACCATTTTATACCTGTAGATCTTATGACATGGTACGCAATTGATTGCCCAAAAGATTTAACGCAGCAGCCACAACAGCAGGATTCATTGCTAATGAATTTAAATTCTCACCTCCTCCTGATTGATTTTGTCCTTGATTTGGATGATGGGAACCTTGATTATTATATGACTTGCTGTCCCAAATGCTATTATTGGCAGCATTGCCATTAGATTTGTTCTCCCAAACAGCATTATCATTATAATTTGGCTTGCTACCACGACTAAATGAAGAATTATTGCGATTATTGGAATTATTGCGATTATTATAACCGTTTCTGTTATTAAAACTATTTCCATTATTATAGTCTCCTCTATAATTATTTCTATCTCTTCCTGAGCCACCTGTCAATTATATATTAATAAAATCATAAACATAATGAGAATGTTTATTCATTGTTCTTACGGTTATTTTCAGTTTTTGGAGCAGCAGTAGAAACATGAACGGTAACGCCTGTAAAATAATTAAGATATATTCAAAAATTTATTTATGTTTTATAATATTTAACCTTTTATTTCATGATCTTCTCCACATACTGATTGTGCAACATCCGGAAATAGAAAGGTAACAAAGCCGTATTTACGAAATGGTTTTGGTATGTAAGCATCAGTCACTTCTCCAAACTTAGAAAAATATTTTCGTAAGTCTTCAGTAGTGATATCTTCAGTGCAACGACCAACAAACACTCTATTATTAAGTAATTGCTGCATTGCACCCTAATAAAAGATAATATAAATAATTAGATAAATAAAGATAGAAAAGATAAATAATTACTTTAGAGTTTGGTATTTTTACTTCACACCAGCGACCACCAATCTGATGTTTGGAAGACAAAACACGCATTTGTACTTCATATGATTGAAATTTAATAAAACCAAATCCTTTTGATTTACCACTTTTAGCATCTGTTTTTATTTGTGCCATTTCTAATTCACCAAATGTTTCGAAATATTCGCGTAAGTCATCTTCAGTCGATTTCCATGGCAAGTCCAAAACAATTAAATCAGTGCACTGTGCTGTTTTTACACGCTTTGTTTTTGATGCCGAATTATTTAAGTTATCATCATTTTTGCGTTTATTTTCTAGATAATAATAAGAATAATAATATTAATTAGTTTTGAATGAAGTATAGTAAAAATATCTTACCTGCTGAGAATACGCATAAGTATATATCGTCACCCCAACCACTTTCATTGTATGGCGGAAAAAGTCTTCCTTCATTACAACGTACACCACGCATAGCGTTGGTTTCTGGATTGCGATACTTGAGACCGGTTGCACCAGAGAATTGAGCTTGTAATGTTGACAGCAATAGAGTGCCATCTTCTTCAGTCGGCAACTCTATTTCAGCTTCTTCTTCGTTTTCAGCCACTTGTACATAATCCATGGTTGAGTGTGAAGGTATTCAAAACTTTTGCAGATAAGAGAGTTTAGATTAATATATAATTTAATAGGGTTTTGTGTTTTTTTTATTGTAATTATAACACCTAAGAACATACAAGCACTATTTACATACAATTATACTGATTTTATAATATACAGACAATAAACATTTCTTTTTCATATTAGAACTCTAGAACAAAAAATAATTACTCTTCAATTATAATCAACTTTTTTTCTTCATAAAACATATGGGTTAACCATTCAATAAGAAACCATACTCAATTTATACACAATATACAACGCTGGAAGATTCAAATGAATCCACACCATTAATACATACTACTTTAGTGAGAAATTAAATTTTTTAACTAAGTATATTATTTATAAATTCATTTAAAATATTATAAATGTCATCAATATTATAACACATATTGAATCTTAAATAATTTTATTATAAAGAATAAAACTGACAACATATCACCCATTGACAAGCTGGTTTTTTAACCCATATGTACTCAGAACATACCTTCTTTATATATATATATCAAAATATTTTATTTATTATTTTTATATTAAGTATAGATAGTTTCTGAATAAGAAAGTATGATGAACTTTTAGTTGTTCATTTACTTGCTCTGGAGTCATCACACACTTAGCGAGCAGAAATACAACAAAAACATCCATTATATTGTCTGGAAATGCAACAAGGACAACAAAACATACAACAGAATAAATGGCATCACAACCGAAATAATTCAAGTAGTCCGATGAATTTAACAAGAAGACCACTGACCACTTCACGAATATTTAACTAATTGGAAATATATTATACCTCGAAATTTTGGCGGTTTTTTTTTTATTCGGCAGATTCCTACTTTTGATAGCAATCCTTTTAGTGCCTAAAAAGACATTCTGCAATAGAGAATATTAAACTAAAATTTAACTTATATGCTACGTCGTTTATATTGTGTTTATTGTTGTAATCCACAGGTAGCAGTAAATCTGAGAACATGAAAGGAATCACATTGCGAATGCATGGATTAAATAGTGGTTGGGTAATGCTTGTGCAAAAGGGAAGACGATTATTCGGTAGTGAATTGGGATATGAACATATTTTAAATGAAAGTAAACTAGAATCAAAACTGAGAAGCTAGCCACTTCTAGGCGCACCTCTTCAAGGCTCTAAATTTCAATTAGATTCAGGTTTGCCTTCCCGTTGGAACACACATTGCAAATTGTTGCATTTATGCGCGACAAATTACTGTTTGTTATATCCTGATCTTAATTGAGCTAGGAGAGTTATTGCTACACGTAAAAGAAATCGTTCTATCTAGGATATATTACGCGTGGGCCGATTGACAATTTTGTTGCAGTGCAACTGTAGTCTTGAAACGGAAATTGCATCCGTGTGGAAGTTCAAAATAGACTAATTTATCTATTGACTATAGATATGTTAATGACTGCTGCAATTTCGAAAAACTATAGCACAATTATGGT